TTAGACTGGGTTAGACTGAGTTAGACTGGGTTAGACTGGTTTTATAGAATGTTTTACTGGTTTAGACTGGTTTAGACTGGGTTAGACTGGTTTAGACTGGGTTAGACTGGGATAGACTGGTTTAGACTGGGTTAGACTGGTTTAGACTGGGTTAGACTGGGTTAGACTGAGTTAGACTGGGTTAGACTGGTTTTATAGAATGTTTTACTGGTTTAGACTGGTTTAGACTGGTTTAGACTGGGTTAGATTGGGATAGACTGGTTTAGACTGGGTTAGACTGAGTTAGACTGGTTTAGACTGGTTTAGACTGAGTTAGACTGGGTTAGACTGGTTTTATAGAATGTTTTACTGGTTTAGACTGGTTTAGACTGGGTTAGACTGGTTTAGACTGGTTTAGACCGGTTTAGACTGGGTTAGACTGGGTTAGACTGGTTTAGACTGGGTTAGACTGGTTTAGACTGGTTTAGACCGGTTTAGACTGGGTTAGACTGGGTTAGACTGGTTTAGACTGGGTTAGACTGGTTTAGACTGGTTTAGACTGGGTTAGACTGGTTTAGACTGGTTTAGACGGGTTAGACTGGGTTAGACTGGGATAGACTGGTTTAGACTGGGTTAGACTGGTTTAGACTGGTTTAGACTGGGTTAGACTGGGATAGACTGGTTTTATAGAATGTTTTACTGGTTTAGACTGCAGCAACTTTGTAATGTTAATAAAAAAAATTTTAATGTTCATATTTAATTGAGAATAAATATGAACGATTTACGATTTTAATAAAAGTGAAATCTGAAGCTTTAAATCTGTGCGTCTCTAAAGAAAACAATTATTTCTGATTGTTTCTTGAATTAGAAACTTGAATCCAGATCAGATTTAAAGAGCTGGTGAACTAGATAAACTGTCTGAATCTGTCATTAGAGGTTAGACTTCAATGTTTCTGAGCAAAATGTGACGTTTTTATGTAAATTCTGCAACATCTCAGTCTCAAACTGCCCTCTATGGTCTGAATGATGGTACTACAGGTTAATTTAAAACCCTCTCACTCAGATACGCCCCTGCTGCGAGTCAGGAGTTTCACATGTCGCTAAATTTGTCTCTAGTCGTTTCTTGTTGAAAACAGTCAGTAAATCTAAAGAGAAAACTCGGAGTTTTCTTGTGCTGACCACGCCCCTCAGCGTGTTTAGGCCCCGCCCACTTTGGAATCTTTCTGAGTTGGTGAGGGGGCGGAGCTTAGCTCCACTTCAAACTAACTAAAACTAAAACATTTTGCCTTTAACAGTCTGCTAGTTTACTGCATTTTCTGTAATAACATGTTATTTTCTATTTAAGATTAGTTTATTTGCATATTTTGAAACCTGCAGCCTGTTTAATGGTCAGAGTGTCGGACGAGTCGTAGCTCCACCTGCTTCCTGATGGCCTCCAGGTCCCGGTCCCGGACGAAGTCCTCCCTCAGCTGGACCCGGGTCAGCCTGGTGCTGCGCGGGTCCGAGAACAGCTGGAAGAAGCTCTCCTCCGGCTCAAAGTTGCTGTCGGTGTGGACCAGCTCCATGTACCTGCAGGAGACAGGAAGTCAGAGTGGCGGCGGCAGAGCGCGTCCAGGCGCCGAGCGGCCGGCGGTCTCCGTACGTGTTGACGAGTTTGTCGCAGATTTCGCTGGGCAGGAAGATGTCGGCGCGCATGCAGAGCTTGTTCCTGAAGCCCTGGTAGCACATCGTCTTCCTCAGGTTCCTCAGGCAGAACACGGTGGCCAGCGTCATCAGGCTGTCCGGGTCGTCGCCCGCTTTGGCTGCCATGTTCGCCCCGCGCTGCTGGCTCAGGTCGGAGACGGGCAGAACAGAGGACCTGAAGGAGGACGGGCAGAACGTCAGGAAGGGAAACCAAATGTTCAGACGGGAAGAAAAGGTTCAAATGATTAAAACGATTAAACTGACTAAACATCCCATCAGCTGAGCAGCAGCGGCTCTGATCCAGAAAACCTCCAATTCTAAAGAGGGAAGAAATGATCTAAAGATAATCCCAGATTAACAGGAAGTGGTTTTAAAACCAGCAGAAGAGAAGGATGAAGAAAAACTTTTAAAAAAAAACAGAAGAAAAATCTGAACAAGTATACAATATAACAAGCCCAGATTATCACATGAAGAATAGTCGTAATAATATGAAAATTAAAATTCAATATAAAAAATAAAGTCAGAATAACATGAGGATTATGTTATAATCCTCATGTTTATGGGGGATATATATATATTATAACTTGTTTATGGCAAGTTATAATATTAGGATTAAAGTTGTAATTATTGTATTTTTACTTTTTACCAGCAGGTGAAAATGAGAAACGCTGAAAATTTTGTGGAGTTAAAATATGCAAAAAATAAAACACTTCATCTTTTAACACATCAAATCATTATCATCACCATCATCATCATCATCATCATCATCATCATCATCAGGATTGTGAAAGGACTGAGTCTGACTTAGAGGTCAGAGGTCATGGATGGGTCCTGGAGGAAAACCTGAGACTAGACTGAAGGTTCAGCTTCCAGCAGGAGATATTATGGGATGGATTAGATCAGCGCAGATTCATGGCATAGCATGGCCTAGTCAAAGTCCATTCCTGAATCCAGAACCTGGAACCTGCCTTCAGATGTTCTCCATCCAACCTGAGCTGAGCGTTTAATCTGCAGTGGTGGATGTGTCATTTTTTCCTTCCACTTAACTTTGAAAACAAAGTGAAGTTTATGATGAGAGAGGAAGAGTTCATAGGTCATGCTGAGGTCACATTAAACATTAACATGTTTGATATAAATAGAGCCTCTCAGCTGTTAAACATGAGCTGAAAGTAAAACCTGAAGTCTGGAGCTCAGATTATTTCAATCTTAATCAGATTATTAATAATTAACCTGAATGAAACCGATCATCTCAAATCATTTGTAATCCTGGATCAATCAGATCCGGAGCCTGCGGGTCGGTCCGAACCAGTTCGGTGACCCGGTTTGTTCGGTTCTGAACCCTGAGATGAACTGAAGGAGAAACAGTTAGCAGTTAGCAGGCTAGCCGCTCCGCTAGCTGCTGGCAAACTGGACCGGAACCTGTGACCCGGCAGAACCGAACCGGGTCAGGAGCTGGTGTTCGGCCCGGTTCGGACTGTCCGCCTCACTCCGCCCCCGGTTCGGGTTCTCGGTTCCTTTAGCTCGCTGCTAGCGCTGACTTTCCTAGCCAAACTTAGCAGGGAGCTAACAGAACCGGACAGCTGAGCTGGATCAGACCGGCTGGCGGACCGGGTCAGCGGGGCCGAACCGCGGCTCGGCCCGGTCCGGGTTCCGCCAGGTGAGCCGGAGCCTACCTGGGCTTCGGTTCCTGGTGACGGGCTCGGTGAAGCTGCTTTCAGTCCTCAATCATCTGATTTTCGCTTTCGTCCCGATGTCAACAAACAGGCTCCGCCCCCTCCTCTTCCTCCTCCTCTTCCTCTGCTCCCACTTCCGGTAGCTGTCATCACGGAGCAGCTCCCTGCGCCGCTAACTCACCTCCGCCACCAGCATGCTGGCAGCAAGGCGGCCATGTTGGAGGGTTAGGAGTTAAACCTGGAGCAGAGCCTGCAGGGCCGGTCCGAGGCTCTGTGGGGCCCAGAGCACAGTTTCAGTTGGGCCCCCATTCCAACATGTCAGCTATGAAGCCTGCAGTGTAATGACAACAATGAAAGATTTATAATCAGATTGATTAGCTTCTTTATTGATAGAGAATCACAGTCAGAAAGATCGGATCCAACATGGAGACGCCAAAGAAGACAATGTTCAGTTTCTCTTCCTAAGATTGCTTTGAGCTTTACTTTGCATCAGGAAACGGCAGGTTTAGTCCTTTCAGAATAAAGTACCCAGCGGCTACAATGTGTCAGGAAGCTGATCATTCCTCCTGCTGTGGATCAAAAGATCTGCAGTAGCAGTCAGTCTACCAACGATCTGAGGAGTCCTCTGACTGAAGACTGTTGGTGCACAGCAGTCTCATGCTAACATGCTAACAGCATGGCTCCATCAGTTTTTAGCTGGCTCTGCTGATCCTGCTCCTTTGCTTTTGCTCCTCTTTAAACCTGACTGTCCGTTTGGCTCCAGAGACGTGAAGGAGACGGTTTTCTTCCTTCTCCTTTTGCTCTGCATCCATTAAGATGCCGCCTGTAAAAACACCGAGAAATCTTGTTGCCATGGTTATCATCACATCATCATAGAAACTGGCTGACAGTATAAAAGTAAAAACCCTTCCAGCTGTTTGCATCCAGAACCAGGACAGATGTGCAGCACAGCGCTGCTCTAGAATCAATGTTCTACTGATTCTAGAGCAGAAACACATTTTATTTAAATTCTGACTCATTTGGTTTCATTTCACTGCAGCTCTGATATTTTCCAAATAAAACTTTTAAACCTGTTTCATTTTACTATTGTACTGCAGATGCTACCGCTAATGCTACCATGAGATTCTGCAAATGGTGACATTAATGCATCAGCTGTTCACTTTAAATGAAGTTTATTGTTGTGTTTTCTCTGATTTTCATGTTTTTATTACATTTTTCTTCATCTGTGGTTTTAATTTAGAACCGAACTGTAAACTAAACTTATAACTAAATTTGATTGGATTCTTTATATGGATGTTATGTAGTTTACATGTTTGGTGTTTAATAGTTTATAAATGTGTTAGGCCTATACTTGTTTTTTATATACTTGTTGTATCATAGTTCATGCAGGGATGATGCGTCAGTCCGGCCGCGGGGCGTCAGTCCGGCCGCGGGGCGTCAGTCCGGCCGCGGGGCGTCAGTCCGGCCGCGGGGCGTCAGTCCGGCCGCGGGGCGTCAGTCCGGCCGCGGGGCGTCAGTCCGGCCGCGGGGCGTCAGTCCGGCCGCGGGGCGTCAGTCCGGCCGCGGGGCGTCAGTCCGGCCGCGGGGCGTCAGTCCGGCTGCGGGGCGTCAGTCCGGCCGCGGGGCGTCATCCCCCTCCGTCCCGCCCACTTGTCCCTTTAAGCGCAGGGCGGCCAGCAGATCTCCGATCCTCCTCCTCGGAGTGGATTACGGCCGCAGCTCTGCGTTTCCTCCGCTCCATCAGCAGCTGATCCGGGGGAACAAAGGCCGCCAGAACCGCCCAGCGCCATGGACTTCAACGTGAAGAAGCTGGCCTCCGATGCCGGGGTGTTCTTCACTCGGGCCGTGCAGGTACAACAGCGGCGCTCCGGCGGCGGGCTACGGGGTGATGGGACTCCCATCGCCGGTCAGAGGAGCTGCAGGTTCCGGGGGGAGGCTGGCTGCGTGGAGCCCGGTTGGTACCGGCTGGTGCCGGTTCTGCTGGTTTCTGCGGTTCTTCCTGGTTGTTGTTGCTCAGATGAGCAGCAGCTGTAAGCCGATAAAGGTCCGTCCTGCCTCGATCCATTATTGATGGCTGTGATCAGCTCCATCACTCATGTGACACCAGCAGAATCTCCTGCTGCCCGCAGCCAGACTCCGTGCAAAAAACAGCCGATTTAACCGACGGCTCCGATTCTCAGGCTGGCTGTAATCTGGTGTTATGCATTTTATGGATTATAATCTGGAAGATTTATTCTGAGATTCGGTAACATTTTGATTCAATGAGAAGGAGGAGGAGGGTTTTAAAATGTGGAGAAAATGGCTCTTTGCCCAGGGCATCAGTGTGTTGGGGGAGGAAACAAGATTTATTTTCCCCCAGCTGTTTTTTAGCTGTCTAAACACGGTGAGGAGCTTTGGCTGTTGACGTGTAATGATGGTGCCAGACTGAAAGAGAAACTGCTTTTAACTGGGATTAAAACAGTCAGTCCAAAAAAGAGAAAATATCCAGGAAGCAGGAACTATGGAGATGAAAATAGAAGAATAGAAGCTCAAATAATGACTCGTTATAATCAATGTAAGCAGAACATTTCTAAATAAATGAGAAACTGAAGTAGATGAGCAGGAAACGTGACCAGAGTCTCAGACAGGAAGTGAGGTTGTAATCCACAGACAGGAAGTGAGGCTGTAATCCACAGACAGGAAGTGAGGCTGTAATCCACAGACAGGAAGTGAGGCTGTAATCCACACAGACTCACCAGAATCTCTCCAGCATCAGATTATATTCAATTAATTTACAAAAACTAAATATTTTGGTCCATTTTCTGTATATGAAGCTCTGAAGAGTTCTAGAGAACTTCAGGAGATTACAGGAAGTAAAACCCAGAGGTTCAGCTGGTTGACCTCCGTCATGTTGCTGGTTGACCTCCATCGTGTTGCTGGTTGACCTCCGTCATGTTGCTGGTTGACCTCCATCGTGTTGCTGGTTGACCTCCGTCATGTTGCTGGTTGACCTCCATCGTGTTGCTGGTTGACCTCCATCGTGTTGCTAGTTGACCTCCGTCGTGTTGCTGGTTGACCTCCATCATGTTGCTGGTTGACCTCCATCGTGTTGCTGGTTGACCTCCGTCGTGTTGCTGGTTGACCTCCGTCGTGTTGCTGGTTGACCTCCGTCGTGTTGCTGGTTGACCTCCATCGTGTTGCTGGTTGACCTCCGTCGTGTTGCTGGTTGACCTCCATCATGTTGCTGGTTGACCTCCATCATGTTGCTGGTTGACCTCCATCGTGTTGCTGGTTGACCTCCGTCATGTTGCTGGTTGACCTCCATCGTGTTGCTAGTTGACCTCCGTCGTGTTGCTGGTTGACCTCCATCGTGTTGCTGGTTGACCTCCGTCGTGTTGCTGGTTGACCTCCATCGTGTTGCTGGTTGACCTCCATCGTGTTGCTAGTTGACCTCCATCGTGTTGCTGGTTGACCTCCATCGTGTTGCTGGTTGACCTCCATCGTGTTGCTGGTTGACCTCCATCGTGTTGCTGGTTGACCTCCGTCGTGTTGCTGGTTGACCTCCATCGTGTTGCTGGTTGACCTCCGTCGTGTTGCTGGTTGACCTCCATCGTGTTGCTGGTTGACCTCCATCGTGTTGCTGGTTGACCTCCGTCGTGTTGCTGGTTGACCTCCGTCGTGTTGCTGGTTGACCTCCATCGTGTTGCTGGTTGACCTCCATCGTGTTGCTAGTTGACCTCCGTCGTGTTGCTGGTTGACCTCCATCGTGTTGCTGGTTGACCTCCGTCATGTTGCTGGTTGACCTCCGTCGTGTTGCTGGTTGACCTCCATCGTGTTGCTGGTTGACCTCCGTCGTGTTGCTGGTTGACCTCCGTCGTGTTGCTGGTTGACCTCCATCATGTTGCTGGTTGACCTCCATCGTGTTGCTGGTTGACCTCCGTCGTGTTGCTGGTTGACCTCCATCGTGTTGCTGGTTGACCTCCGTCGTGTTGCTGGTTGACCTCCATCGTGTTGCTGGTTGACCTCCATCGTGTTGCTGGTTGACCTCCATCGTGTTGCTGGTTGACCTCCGTCGTGTTGCTGGTTGACCTCCATGTGTTTCAGTTCACAGAGGAGAAACTGGGCCAGGCTGAGAAGACCGAACTGGACCCTCACCTGGAAAACCTGCTGGCGAAGGCCGACTCCACCAAGAACTGGACCGAGAAGATCCTGAGACAGACGGAGGTTCTGCTGCAGCCCAACCCGAGTAAGTGTTCCAGTTTCTCCATCATGGTATTAGCTGAAGCTAATGCTAAAGCGCTAATCAAAACATCAGTTTTGCTAACGCTAAATCAGGTTGAATATCTGCCTGGAAAATGACAACCATTGACCCAATTTAATAATGATGTAATAATTTACATGTTAATGTAAATCTAACAGCAGATCCAGGAACCATGTTAGCTTCACTTCCTGCTGGAAACCAGAAGAAGAAGAAGAAGAAGAAGAGCTCAGGCTGTTGCTGCTGATCCTCTGCAGGATCCAGATTCACATCCTGCATATCATTTATCCATCATGTTGACATTTTGGTAGAAATCCTTTCTAAATTCAAATTGATCAGTTTTATTTTGAAAACCTCACTTCCTGAAGGAAGTGTTTTGAAGTTCCTGGTAACTTTTGGTGGAAATGAACCTTTAAAGGGTCCGAGGTTGTTGATGAACTGGACCGGTTCTGGTCTAACATCTAACTTCTGTTTTCCTTCATGCCTCAGTCGATCACACAGGTAGGAGTTTCCTCCATTTCCCAGCATGCATCTGGTAAATGGTGTTAATTGGTTCCTGTAAATGTTTCCAGTGTTTAATTCTGGCTTGTCTTCCGTTCCCGACCGGAACCAGGCGCACGGATCGAGGAGTTCATCTACGACAAGCTGGACCGGAAGCTTCCGTCCAGAACCACCAACGCCGAACTGCTGGGCCAGTTCATGCTGGACGCCGCCAAGGAGTTCGGAGCCGACACTCCGTACGGTGAGGAACGGTTCCGATGCATCAGAACCGGGCTTGGTTCTGGTTCTGTGTGACCCGGTTCTGGTGACCCGCTGCAGGTACCACCCTCATCACGGTGGGAGAGTACCAGAGGAAGCTGGGCGGAGCCGAGCGGGAGTTCCTCCACACGGCCGCCGTCACCTTCCTGTCGCCGCTGCGCAACTTCCTGGAGGGCGACTGGAGGACCATCTCTGTGAGTTGGACCGCCTGCGGTTCTGATCCGGTCCGGTTTCCGTCCTCCTTTACACTTTTATTTAGATATAGACTTTTTACATATTTGTTAAAACTGTCTCCATGTTATGAGAGATCATCTGTGAACAGACTCAACCAATCAGAGCGAGGAGGTGGTGCTGTCAATCATCCTCATGTACTGTCTGCTAAATGTGCTCATGGCAGAGAAACAACTCATTTTTACAGAAAAAACTTTTATCTGTCATCCCAGGTGGCTATGCTAACTAGCATTAGCATGCATGACAGGCTATGCTAACTGTAGAAAGCCAGGGAGGAAGAGGGTGATTGACAGCAGTAAGACCCGCCTCCTGGTTCTGATTGGTTGTTTCTAGCACTGGGAGATGGTAGAGGAGATCAGTTTACATGTTTTATGTATTTCAGATGATCTGATTGTTTAATAAAAATGTAAAACATGTTTATTACTATAAATAATACAGAATATTATAATCAATAATAATCAATAATACAAGATATTTTTAATAAAAGTTAGTGCAGCTTTAAACCCGTTTGGATCAGAATTGTTCCAGGTTCTGAATCGGTTCCTAAACCCAAAGACAGAAACAACCCAAAAATGGGAAAAAGCCCAGATCCCCAGGGAACCGGGTCAGAACCAGGGAACCGGGTCAGAACCAGGGAACCGGGTCAGGACCAGGGAACCAGATCAGGACCAGGGAACCAGATCAGGACCAGGGAACCGAGTCAGGACCAGGGAACCGGGTCAGAACCAGTTCTGTCTGTGTTTTCAGAAGGAGCGGCGGCTCCTGGAGAACCGGCGTTTGGACCTGGACATCTGCAAAGCCCGTCTGAAGAAAGCCAAGCAGGCCGAAGCCAAGGCAGCGGTGAGACCAGAACCGAGCCGCCATAGCGGGCCAGAACCTCCAATACAATAACAGCAGAAACATCAGTTACACGGCTCACCCACATGGTGGCGCTGTGCTCTGGTTGGGTTGGTTCCATCAGAACAACAAAACAATAAAACCAACTTTATGGTTTAGATATGGCCTCTTTTCTCTTTTGTCCATTTAAATGTAAAATCTTTTCATAATTTATTCATTTGCAGTTCAAACCTTTTCTGATTGTCACTAACTTTACATTAATTATTATTTTATTGTGCTGATGAACCAATCAGATGTTAGAATGTTTGCTGAGTCACAGCAGCAGATCAATGATTCATGATGGATTGTAGTGCAGAAAATATGAAATATTTAATAATATTTAATATTTAATAATTCTAACTTGTAATTAAGCTTTTTTTACCTAACTTTTTTTAGTGCTATTGTGTATTTTATACATTATTGACAGAAATATCTTTATCTTACATATGTATTTTATGAATAAATTTCTCACTGTTTACTTTAAATATTACAAATATTTAAGAATTTATAAAAATTTTTACACTTTCTCTTATTCTGTATTTTGCAAATATTTGTATTAATTTTCATGTTGTACCGTTGTTGTCCACTAGAGGGCGACACGCGTCTCCCACTTCCTTCTGATTACTTTTCATTTAATTTACCTGAAATGTGAAATGAAACAAACTTTGTGCTTTTGTCTCCAGGCGACTCCAGACTTCCAGGAGACGCGGCCGAGAAACTACGTCCTGTCGGCCAGCGCGTCTGCGGTGAGGCGCCATCGGCTCAGGGGGGCCGCCGCCGCCGGCTCGGGGCCGCCGCCGGCTCGGGGCCGCCGCCGGCTCGGGGCCGCCGGCTCGGGGCCGCCGCCGCCGCCGGCTCGGGCCGCCATCTGATTGGCTCACCCAACACAAGATGCAAAAACACAAGATGTTGAGAAATACTTCAGTCTAGTTTCTAAATATCTGAGTAAATTTCAGAAAAGATCAAACTTTAGATTTTCAGTCAATAATTTCTCCATACCGACTTTGAAAAGCAGAAACTGGTAAAAAGTCGTTTCACCAGGTTAGAAGAGAAAATCTTAATCTGAAATGAAGTTAGTTTTATCCTGAGCTGACCTCTGACCTCAGAACTGGGTTGGATCCTCCAGGATCAGAAGATGAATCCGGTTTCATGTTTTATTATTTACAGTTTGATCATGAAACGGGTCGGATCCGCCTGCAGGAAGTTTCTGCTCACCAGTGGTGGTTTCACTGGTCTCACTGGTCTCACTGGTCTCACTGGTCTCACTGGTACTGGTCTCACTGGTCTCACTGGTCTCACTGGTACTGGTCTCACTGGTCTCACTGGTCTCACTGGTCTCACTGGTTTCACTGGGCGAGTCCCAGTGCTGTCCATGATGTCATCGTTTAGAGACCGAGTATTCCTCGGGACGGTTCTGGTTCTGGTTCTGAACCGTCCTGAGGATTGCTCTGGTTCTGGTTCTGAATCTCTCAGGGTTCTGGAGGTTTTACTGCCGTTCCGGATCGGCGCCGACCTGGTTCTGATTGTAGCTCCGATTTCTTTCTGTAGTCCAGGAAGTGGTTAAATGACACGCGATGCAACATCAGCAACAGAGCAAATTAATTCATTCTTCAAAATAATCTGGATTATCTGATCTGGATCAGCCTGGAAAACCAGGAATAAGTGATGATTAGGATCAGATGTGGGATTATTCCAGGAATTGTTTTCATTTGTGGAGTTAATCTGGTGAAAATCTTCCAGCAGTTGTTCTGATTTCCAGTTTGTTTCTGCGGCTTCAGAGCGGCTGGGAGAGCTGGAGCCCTGCGGCCGACCCGGCGGCCGACCCGGCGGCGCCGCCGCAGAGGAAGGTTGGACCGATGAATGGATTAGATCCGTGTCCCGTAGAACCGGTGGTGGTAGAACAGCAGGTCCAGTTCTAGAGTCAGAGAAACTTTATAATCTACAGAAAAGCTCAGAGAAACAAACGCTGAAGATCAGAAGATTAGCAAGAATTAAAAACCAATCCGTCTGCCTAGTCAAAGTCCAGCTCAGTTGGTGAGCTGTGAACACTAATCGACCTCTGACCTCTGGTCTCCAGGCCTCGGTTTGGTTTGAATGTGAACGCCAAGCGGACCAGAGAGCGTTCCACAAACAGGAAGTGACTGCAGTGCAGGGCATTCTGGGTAGATACAACCAAAGCTAACATGTTAGCCTAGCGCTAGCAGCAGAAACGGCTCCTGGTCTTCAGCCAAAGACTAAAGAGAAATCCTCCAGCACTAAACTGTGACGCCTCCATCTTGTTCCATCTGGTGAAACAGGAAGTTACTCTCAGTGTCTTCAGAGGTTTTAGTGTCGTTTCCTCCAGTGGACATCAGAAAAGCTGATGATGTCATCAGGACATGTTGAGCTGTTAGCATGTCAGAACGGTTTTCAGTCAGAGGCCTTTTCATAAACGCTGTAAGACTGACTGCTACAGGATCATCATCCACAAAGAGTCTGAATATATTTGACATTTAATTTTGGGATTTATAAAGTATTTTTAAATTGAATTGAAGAGCTTTAATAACAGGTTCATATATTTACCTTGATTATGTTTAGTTTCCTGCTGCAGTGTAATGGCAGTTGTTTAACACAGGGGGCGCTGTAAAGAATATAGTTGAAAGTTCAGCTGCAGAAGTTTCTGATTGAGTTTTACTGTGATCATCTGGATCATCTGAACATCTGGATCAGATGAACATCTGGATCAGATGAACATCTGGATCAGATGAACATCTGGATCAGATGAACATCTGGATCTGCCCACTCAGGTTGGCCAGGTTCCTGGAAAACAATCGGCCATTGAAGCGTCCAGTCGAGACGCCGCCATGTTGTTCAGCTGATCAGACGTCTCCATTCATCCTTTCATGATGGATTCATCCTCCCGTTCTGGATCCTTGTGATTCATCCTTCACCCAGAGGAGAAATGTGAACCTCAGTGATTCAAAACAAAAATCCAACTTGGTGCCTCAGACGTGTAAATCCAGCAAACGGAGATGAACAGTTTCCATCACTAACACTTTCTAGAACCTTCAGCATCTTTTATTCAAATGTTTTTCTGCTCTGACTCACAGAACTGAAGTTAACTAATAACTCCTGCTAATCTGCTAACAACAAAGCTAATTTTTAGCTTAGCACTTTAGCATTTTGAAAACCTTTAGCTTAGCTTGTAAATTAATTTTCCAGCATTTGTTAATTTGGTTGTATGATTATCAGCAGGTAGTTAATTTGCTGTTTACCCAGAATGCATTGCTGTAGTTCTACAGTAAGCAGTTCTAACTCCCACCTGCAGGTGGCGGTATTTCCGACCTCAGCATTATTTGAAGTCTGGTTATACAATTGAGCTTTTTAACTTCTTTAACTAATAAAAATGTTGTTTTTTTTTCTCCTCCATGTAGAATCTGGAAGAAAAAATGTTGAAATATAAACATTGAAAAATTATTTCCAAGTATTTCTGAAGAAGCATCAAAAAATTATTGATTTTAAAAAATTAATGAAATGATGTGAAATCCTGGAGGGACTCGATGTCCACCGTGGTGATACAGAGCGTTAGCGTTAGCTGAGCTAATTTCATGATTAGCTCTTTAGCACTAGCAGCTCCACAGTTTATCATATTGGTGTTTTAGCATTAGAGTAGCTGATGTTTGTGATTAGCAGATTAGCATTAGCATAGCTAATGTTTGTGATTCCACTGCTAGTAACACTGTACCATTCATCAAGCACAGTGGTGGCAGCATCATGCTGAGGGATGTTTTGGTAGCCACAAAGTGGATGGATCATCAAACATGGAGGACTCCGTCTTCTTTGGGGTGTATGTAAATATGTGAGCCGCCACATCTGAACCGGTTGACCCGGATTTAGCTGCTGACCTGCGTCGGCATGGCAACGGGCCGGGAGCCGGTCCAGGCGGTTCGTGGCGAAAAGTTACTGATTTAATCTGAGACGTTTTTCTGGTTCTGTTTGTCTCAGCTGCTGAGCGAGGAAGTGGACAAGGTGAGGAAACAGGAAACTGGAGGAGGAGAGATGATGACGCCAGAGGAGACAAAACTCTCTCATCCCTCCCTCCCTCTATACCTCTCTCTCTTTTTCTCTCTTTCTCTCCTTCCTTCTCTCTCTCTCTCTCTTTCTCTCCTTCCTTCTCTCTCTCTTTCTCTCTATCTCCATCCTTCTCTCTCTCTCTCCATCCCTCTCTCTCTCCCTCTCTCTCTCTCCCTCCATCCCTCTATACCTCTCTCTCTTTTTCTCTCTTTCTCTCCTTCCTTCTCTCTCTCTCTCTCTCTCTCTCCTTCCTTCTCTCTCTCTCTCTCTCTCCCTCTCTCTCTCTCTCTCTTTCTCTCCTTCCTTCTCTCTCTCTCTTTCTCTCTATCTCCATCCTTCTCTCTCTCTCTCCATCCCTCTCTCTCTGTCTCTCTCTCTCTCTCTCCCTCCATCCCTCTATATGTCTCTCTCTCTTTCTCTCTCTCTCTTTCTCTCCATCCTTCTCTCTCTCTCTCTCTCTCTCCATTCTTCTCTCTCTCTCTCCATGCCTCTCTCTCTCTCTCCATCCTCTCTCTCTCTCTCTCCATCTCTCTCTCCATCCTTCTCTCTCTCTCTCTCTCCATCCTTCTCTCTCTCTCTCTCCATCCTTCTCTCTCTCTCCCTCCATCCCTCTATACGTCTCTCTCTTTCTCTCCATCCCTCTCTCTCTCTCTCCATCCTTCTCTCTCTCTCTCTCCATCCCTCTCTCTCTGTCTCTCTCTCTCTCTCTCCCTCCATCCCTCTATATGTCTCTCTCTCTTTCTCTCTCTCTCTTTCTCTCCATCCTTCTCTCTCTCTCTCTCCATCTCTCTCTCTCCATCCTTCTCTCTCTCTCTCTCCATCCTTCTCTCTCTCTCTCTCCATCTCTCTCTCTCCATCCTTCTCTCTCTCTCTCTCCATCCTTCTCTCTCTCTCTCTCCATCCCTCTCTCCCCCAGGCGGAGCTGGAGTTGCGTGTTGCCCAGACGGAGTTCGACCGCCAGGCTGAGGTGACCCGGCTGCTGCTGGAGGGGATCAGCAGCACACATGTGAGTCAGAGGCGCCGGTCGGGTCGGGTCGGGTCGGGTCGGGTCTGATGAGCCACAGTGTGTCACTGGATCAGGTTCTGTTGGACCCGGAAAGACAACAGCTGCTGTTGTTTACTTTCTGTTTCTATTATTTTAAATTTAAACTTTGATATATTTATTTTATTTTATTTGATATTTATTTATTTTATTCCATCATCTGAAGCGACTGAAGAAACTTTTCATGTTTTCAGTTTTGTTCCATTTTAAAGGAGTCAAACTGGAGGCCCGTGGGCCGGATTCGGCCCGCCGTGGGCCGGATCCGGCCCCGTTCATGTGGCCGTCAGTGAGCCACATGGATCCAACTGTAACTTACCAGAGTTCTGCTTATTATTGATCAGTTTTATTTCTTTAGGTCTGAATCTGATCAGGTGTAAAAACTGAAAGTTTAAAACGTTTTAATTTAAAAATGTGAAACTTTGACTGTTTTTGACCTTTGAGGTCATTCAGGGTCTGGATGTGACCCGAATGAAAATCAGTTTGATTCTCCGGATTTAAGGAACCAGACCAACCTGACTCTGAATGACCTTTGACCTGCTCTGCTTGGATGGATTACTTTAATTCATATTGGACAGTTTTTCAACAAGAACAACCTGATTCAAATTAAAGTCTGGACTTTGACTAGGCCACTGCAGAGGGTTTGTTTTCTACACTAACTCCTCTTCCTCTTCCTCCTCCAGCTGAACCACCTCAGGTGTCTGCAGGACTTTGCGGAGGCTCAGGCCACGTACTTCGCTCAGTGTCATCACTACATGCAGGACCTGCAGAGGGAGCTGAACAGGTGAGGAGCTGAACAGGTGAGGAGCTGCAGCGCCACCATCTGTCAGGTTGTAAGTTAATTTAACACATTCAGAGCCGAAACTGAAATTAATTAATGAATAATGAGATGAAAATATGACTGAAAAATGAGCAAATGGCTCCAGATGCCTGGGTCCAGTCAGTTCTTCTGGGTCCAGTCAGTTCTTCTGGGTCCAGTCAGTTCCTCTGGATCCAGTCAGTTCCTCTGGGTCCAGTCAGTTCTTCTGGGTCCAGTCAGTTCCTCTGGGTCCAGTCAGTTCTTCTGGGTCCAGTCAGTTCCTCTGGGTCCAGTCAGTTCTTCTGGGTCCAGTCAGTTCTTCTGGGTCCAGTCAGTTCCTCTGGGTCCAGTCAGTTCTTCTGGGTCCAGTCAGTTCTTCTGGGTCCAGTCAGTTCCTCTGGGTCCAGTCAGTTCCTCTGGATCCAGTCAGTTCCTCTGGGTCCAGTCAGTTCTTCTGGGTCCAGTCAGTTCCTCTGGGTACAGTCAGTTCCTCTGGATCCAGTCAGTTCCTCTGGGTCCAGTCAGTTCCTCTGGATCCAGTCAGTTCTTCTGGGTCCAGTCAGTTCCTCTGGGTCCAGTCAGTTCCTCTGGATCCAGTCAGTTCCTCTGGGTCCAGTCAGTTCTTCTGGGTCCAGTCAGTTCCTCTGGGTACAGTCAGTTCCTCTGGGTCCAGTCAGTTCCTCTGGGTCCAGTCAGTTCCTCTGGGTCCAGTCAGTTCCTCTGGGTCCAGTCAGTTCTTCTGGGTCGGGGAGGTGATCCATCAGAACCAGATCGGTTTCTCTGCTGGCTCCATGGTTCTGAATCTGCCGGTTCTGTGGGTCAGATTATCGGGTCGGTTGAATATTTATTGTGAATATTTGCTTGTTTTGCTGCAGATGTGCGAACTCAGCCGTCGGCCCCCCGCCGCCCTCCAGCGCCGGGCCCGACCCGGTTCCGACCGCCTTCCCGTCCGGCCGCCTGTCTCCCGGCGCCTCGGGCTCCAGGAAGGCCAAGGTTCTGTACGACTACGACGCTCACGACGCCAGCGAACTGTCGCTGCTGGCCGACGAGGTCAGTCTGACCCGAGCGCCCTGATCGCGACCAGAACCGCAAAGTAACTAGATATCTAGAGGTCAGCTGGTTATCCTGTTCTGGGATCGATTGGTAATGCCTCCACCCGCCACTAGGGGGAGTTTTCATCTAGAAAACGCTCAGCTCTCTCTCTCTGTTTCGCTGCTGCTGTTTTCTTTCTGTTTCAGTAAAATGATACAAATAATAACAGTGAGTTGGACCAGTAACTTTAATCTGGATTATTCCTAACAGAATCTAGATTATAATGACATCATTAATCATTTCCTGGTCAGTCTTTTAAATTAAATATTTAATAGATTTTTTCATTTCTTTCTCCCAGCTTGTGTTGTGATGCTGAAGCTTCAGAAAGAGCAGAAGCTTCTTAAAGAGACAGAAGCCCAATTTCAAGTTCAGACTGCAAACTCAAAGTTCTTTGACGTAGCGCTTGATACATTTATAGAGCGACGAAACTCTTAAAGGGCCAGTGTTTGATTTCTGCCTGGTCATTCTGTCAGTTAGCTCCTTTTGGAAACTTGTCTTCAGGTTTTGGATGTTTTGTTTTTATCTTGACCCGTTTTCCTGTGTTTCTGTCCAGGTCATCACTGTCTACACGGTACCAGGAATGGATCCTGATTGGCTGGTTGGAGAGCGGGGCAACCAGAAAGGCAAAGTACCTGTGACCTACCTGGAGCTTCTAAGCTAATGGACCGTTAGCATTCTATCTGGTGAAACATCTGAACCCTCTGGTAGACTCAGTTCAGTTTCAGTTCAGTTTAGATTAAACTGATTCAAATTTGGTTCAAATTCAGTTAATTTCAGTTTCAGTTCAGATTCCGTTTAGAGATTTTTATCTGACAGCTTTCCTTGGAGAAAAACCAGAAACATTTTAGCGATGCTCTCAGACGGAACCAGGAAGTTTCCTGACCTGGTTCATCAAGTCACTCCTATGTGTATTTGGGCCCCATATGGTTTCTTCTCAGGTCCGATGGGTTCGAAGTGGAGCTGGGCTCAAAATGGCTTCCTGTTTGGGGCCCAGTTGAGTCATTAACAGTTTTCAAGGAGACATTAAGGTCCCAGTTTACCCATCAGGCCCACAGAGTCCACCGTATGGGGCCCATGTCTCAGTCATTTTCTACGTAACTGTTAGCTTGTGGCATTATGATGCATTTTGATTTTATCTCTGAACTTTGAGCTCCAATCTGGGAAAACTCACCAGCTCCAGCCAGTAAGCTAATTGTTTTGGTGCTAACGGCTAGTAGCAAAGCAGGATGAAATATTTCCATCCATTTTATTCATTCTGACACTGAAGGAGTCATTTAGCTCAAACCAGCAGAGCTGCTAGCAAACTGGATTTCAGCTACATCAATGAGCAGCAGCCATCTTGGATTGTGAACATACGGCTGTTTAAGGAATTTTGAATTTCCCAGTTTTAATTCCAACTTTGTGTTTTTCCTCCGTAAGAAGCTTCATTTCCTTCACATTGTAAAGTTTCAGAAAACATTTCTGACATCTGAGTTTTAAAAAATCACCTGAAAAGTACCAAGAAGTTTGGAAAGTTTTAGTCTCAAAATTCAAAATGGCTGCCTTGAGTCCAAACAGTCTGCAGGTTGGAAAATATTTGTTTAACTTTCTGATTGGCTGAATCTCACTGATTTACTCAAAATCAACATGTTTACGCAATCCATCAGTGTCTGGATGATCACCTGCTGAGAAATTAATTGCTATTAGCTTCTATTAGCAGTTAGCATTGTAACACAAAACTAGCAAGTCTTAATGGTTTTCTGAATTGTAATGATTGAGTCTAATTTGGTGAAGGTTTGAGCTTCTTAGCAGCTGGTGATTGGTTCAGAAGACAGAAACATGAAGAATCACAAGCTAAGCCAGGGAGCTAATGCTAAAGACACTAGCATTGTGCTTATTTATATTTCTGTTTTGCACCTTATTTTCTCTGAATAACTTAATTATTGTAGCATATCTGTGTTGTTTGCACAACGTGTCAACAGAGACCAAGCTAGCTGCTAGCAGCTTTAGCAGTAGGAGCTAGCTTCGTTTGTTTTCTTCTGTTTCAGTTACAAAAAAAACATGAAAAACATTTAAAAAACATACTTTACATAACTTAGTGGTTTGTTGATCACAAAACTGTTGCTGTTCATTTAGCTGGTGATGAATTATTTCCATCATGGCGACTCAGAGGAACGATCTGTTAGCCGCTTAGCTAGGAGCCTAACGGCGCCGCAGCTCCTTCTCTCCAAAACAAAACTAATCTGGATAAAATATTTCTATTTTCCTTTTCAGCTTTGATTATTTTATACCAAAAATTCAAATATTTTCTACCAGTTTCTACAATCATAAAAAGTTTCTTCATTTTGGTCCTTAATAATTACTCAATAATTTGTCTTATTTAAAGCCAGATTATTTTATGTTTTTGACATTATTACACTTTGACAAAACTAATGAAAATCTCTGATTTAATTTCTTTAAGGACATAAAATTTTTAAAAAAGGGAAAATCAAAATTGTGTCTGTTTAGAGTCACAAATCAGAACTAAGAAATGACTTTAGAGGAAAACACCGTGATTTGACTAGGACCTGTTATCTGTCGGATTTTATTATTCAGAGTTCAGAACTAAATCTAATATTTAATACAACGATTTCACTCGTACTAGTAAATTGAATGTACAGTTTAATGAAGCTTATTTCTGATTTGAACATTTATAATTCATGAAAATCCCCCCAGTAAATAATTTAAACATGAGTACAAAACACAGAATCAGGGAAATAAAAGCAGAAAAACACTTTTAAAACTAATAAAGTTCTATGTAGAAGATTTCTGTTCCTCAGCAGCTGTTTGCTGTGAGCTGGCAGGAAGTGATGTCATGGATCTGACTCAGGATCAGATTTATTTAGAGCGGCGGCGTCAGATTCACCTTCCTGTAAGCTGCGATTCATGACGCTGTGATTTTACTGTTTATGAGGGAACGGCAGCAGGATGCATCAGTCAGTTCTTACTGTTTAGATTAATTATTGGTGTGATGCTAAGGAACATATCAGAATTATGCAGCTGTATTCATAGTAATAAAATGCAACAACTTCACTGTAAAAACTAACGAACGTTCAGCAGTTTTTTATTTGAAGCTGAAATGTGAGGCAGAGAAACAGGAATTGGCTCCTTTTCATTTTCATCGGTGGAACATTTTTATTTGGTGCTGCGGTTTCTGGGGTCAGATTCAGTTTAACCCTTTAAGAAGCTTCTGCTCTCTCTGAAGCTCCGCCTCCAGGAAGTCAACCCAACACCGCTACTCTATTAACCCTTTAATGTTTTTACCAGCGCTGATCTGAGATCCTTCTGTTTGCTAACTGCTGCTGGCTAGTCTGAAGGAGCTGAGTAGGGGAGGAGCTGTGCCTCGGAGGCGGGGCTACGGCCGACCGGGCGTTTTAAACAGCTGAATGGTTGCTGTGGAAATGAAAGGGTTTCTGAAACAAACGAATCAAAGCGACGCTCCAGGTTACAACATTATAACATGATGTGAAGATAAAACGGTGGATTTGATGCGACACCGGCCCTTTAAATGTTCAGACAGCGATGTCACATGAACAAAGGCTGAATGAGCACATCTTCAGCTTATCACTATAAATTGGTGCGGTGATGAAATCCTGTCATCATGTTTCCTCACCGCATTCAGTCTTCCTAAAGCAGGTCAAAGGTCACGGCGGCTGACTGCCTTCTGTTGAGCTTCCTGCTGAAATCCCGACTCGCATCCCAGGAAATTCATCTGACCAGATAAACTTCATTAAAACCAGTGAATAAATGAAAATGAACTCGATAATTTCCACTCTGATGATTAAAACTTTCTAAGGGAAGTTCTGACCCACATGGATCCGACCAGAACCACAACCATCAGAACTGATCTCTGGCTTAGAAAGCAACAGGTTGATCCGTTCCTGGTTTTCACCACGACTTCAGATTTAAAACTTGGAAATGTTTTGGTGTTTATTTCAGAATTAAAGATGAAAAGGTTTTTTAGTTTTAAAGGAGTTTTAAATCTGCTCCTAAAGCTGCAGAAAGAGAGAAACTGAACCAAACCCAGAAACCTCAGCAACCGACATTCAGTCCCCCGAACCGCAGAGCCACAGAAACTCGCTTTGTGGCAGTGACTGTTTCCATGGCGTCACATGATGAAACGGTTTCTGGATTTAATCTCTGAGATTCTCTGATTTAAGAAACTGAGCTCTGAGGGGAACGTCGACGTGTTTTCAGCATGATCAGAGCGCGGGCTTTGACTGGACCATGCGCCGTGTGTGTGTGTAAATAAAGTGTTGTTTATTTGCTTCGGTGTTTTAACTCTTTGGTTAAATGTGATTTTTTTTGGCGTCTCATTTCTCCTGGATTGATGTTCAATAAACAGCATGTGTGTCACAGATGCCGTGTTGTTGGTGTGGTCATTGAACGCATCGCAGCAGGATGTCCAAGCTGCGGTCTGGGGGCCATTTGTGGCCCACAGTGATTTTTATTTTTATCAAAACAGAATAAATTAAATCTTAAACTAGATCTGAAACTTATTTAATCTTGCAGGAAAACATTTTAACCGATGAATAAAATATTTTCTCATAAAATTATTTAATTTTATTGAAAATAAAAGCACAAAAATCAACTTTTACCCCCAATTTATTGAAGCTGCAACAAAAAAACTGAAAACCAGGAAACTGTGAAGCTAATATAAAATGTCTTGCCAGAGATTTTTAAAAGCTTTTCCTCCAACCAATGATTTTTGTTTTTTGAAGAGAATTAGCATTTCTAGTTTAATACTGAGCAAATACAAAATATTCATTAAGTTTATGTTTAGAAATAATTGTTTGTTTGTCCAACAACATTCTGAACATTCAAAAGTTTTGTTTCACAAACAATTTGAGTTAAACAGAAAACTCAGAAAAAACAAAACTTACTGAAGTTGGTGATGAGAAACAAACCAAGCAAACCAGGCGACCCAGAGGTCAGGCGACCCGGAGGTCAGGCGACCCGGAGGTCAGGCGACCCGCAGGTCAGGCGACCCGCAGGTCAGGCGACCCGCAGGTCAGGCGACCCGGAGGTCAGGCGACCCAGAGGTCAGGCGACCCGCAGGTCAGGCGACCCGCAGGTCAGGCGACCCGCAGGTCAGGCGACCCGGAGGTCAGGCGACCCAGAGGTCAGGCGACCCGCAGGTCAGGCGACCCGGAGGTCAGGCGACCCAGAGGTCAGGCGACCCGCCGGTCAGGCGACCCGGAGGTCAGGCGACCTCCAGGTCCAGTTCAACCAGTTGCTGTTACTCTGGTGCCATTATACCAAACATTTAGTTTTGACCTTTTTCTAAATTCAGAAACGTCACTTTGACTCGTTTCATTCTGAGGAAACCAAACTGGAATCCGTCCACAAACTGATGCTAATCATTAGCTAACTGGGAAACACGTGTGAAACCCGACTGAGACAACAGGGAACCAGAGGAGAACCAAAACCAAATCAGAACAGAACCAGAGGAAAGGATCTAACGGGTAAAAGGAGAAGAACCAGTGAGGAGGAGAGAGAGACTGGACGAATACTGGGAGCAACTGGGAGCCATGGGGCCAGCTGATTGGCTACCGGCTCACAGAGAGAGAAAATGGCACAGTGGGCGAGCGAGAACATGCAACAGGACAACTAATAACTAGAATAACTCAACCTCAGAAACTAAACCATAAAAAACACAAGAAGTAAAAATAATAAACTGGAATCAGTGAAATAAAGTAAAATAATAATAAAATAGATCATGCTGGCAGAGGCAGCATCATGCTGTGGGCCTGAGGCAGAAATCCTCAGAATGAAGGATTTGTAATGTTTGTTTCTTGGACTGGACTGCAGGCCTTTCAGGTCAGTTTGCATAAAATTACAGATTTATAGCAAAAAACATGAAATAAAATCCAAACTCTTAATTTAAAAGTTCAAACCAAACATCATCATGGATGTTTCTGTAAAGCAGAAAGACGTCAATAAATAACAAACGATGCATATTGAGACGCAGCTGATCAGGAACTAAACCATCATTTGGAAACTGGGAGGGAAAGTAAGTCAGGAAGTAAAGACACCCTGCTGTGACCCAGCAGGGTGTCTTTACTTCCTGGATCCTCATCATGATTTCACATCATTCATGATGCAGTTTGGAAATTCATCAGTTTGTAAAATTAGTTCCAATATGTAAATGAGATGAATAAGGGTTAAGGTTAGGGTTAAGGTTAGGGTTAAGGTTGGGGTTAGGGTTAACCCCTTTTCTTTTCGTATTTAAGCGTTGAGTCGGTTTGTCAGTGACTGTTGGACACATAAATACTTTTGAACATCTGCAGCTTTCAGAAAATCTAATTTAAGACGTTTTTAATTCCAGCTGAAATGAAACTTCACACAGAACCGAACCAAAACCAACGTCCAAAACAAGCTAGCTCGCTAGTTAGCATGTTAGCAGCTAGCTACAGGCCAAGTTTAACTCCTGTGATTGGTTTTGAAGGCACATTTTTTATAATGACTTTAAGACGTTTTAAGACTTTAATTACTGGGATCAATCAAGTATCAGGTCAAACCTCCCTAATCTAATCCAGATCAGAACTTTGCTTCTTTCCTGAGCAGCAAACAAAAATGGAGGACGCCGCTGGTCTAGTCCAATCACTGACTGAGAAGTTCTGCAGCCACAGAGTGAGCCCACATCCTGATGCCTCCACCGCCGTGCCAGAGGACATCATCATGACATGCGGGCTGTGCTGACCTCAGTTCGGCGGCCATCTTGTTTCTAGAGAGAAGAGGCTTTCTCCTTCAACCCTGGCAAGCAGCCGTGATCTTTAACCTTTGACCTGATGGAGAACAATGGTTTAGTTTCTGACCTTCTATAACAAGTTTGTTTTCTTTTCATTAGGAAACCAGAAACGTTTCGCCTGGCGCCGGTCTGCTGGATGGAGCGCCGCGGTTCTGGTTCTGTGAGCTGAAGGAGGTGGAGCGTCTAGTCGGTGTGGTTCCGGTCCGGTCTAGGCGGTGTGGTCCTAGTCCGGTCCGGTCTAGTCGGTGTGGTCCTGGTTCCGGTCCGGTCCAGTCGTTGTGGTTCCGGTCCGGTCTAGGCGGTGTGGTCCTGGTTCCAGTCCGGTCTAGGCGGTGTGGTCCTGGTTCCGGTCCGGTCTAGGTGGTGTGTGGTTCCGGTCCGGTCTAGGCGGTGTGGTCCTGGTTCCGGTCCGGTCTAGGCGGTGTGGTCCTGGTTCCGGTCCGGTCGTCGTTGTGGTTCCGGTCCGGTCTAGGCGGTGTGGTCCTGGTTCCGGTCCGGTCTAGGCGGTGTGGTCCTGGTTCCGGTCCGGTCTAGGCGTTGTGGTCCTGGTTCCGGTCCGGTCTAGGCGTTGTGGTCCTGGTTCCGGTCCGGTGTAGGCGGTGTGGTTCCGGTCCGGTCTAGGCGGTGTGGTTCCGGTCCGGTCTAGGCGGTGTGGTTCCGGTCCGGTCTAGGCGGTGTGGTCCTGGTTCCGGTCCGGTCCAGTCGGTGTGGTCCTGGTTCCGGTCCGGTCTAGGCGGTGTGGTCCTGGTTCCGGTCCGGTCTAGGCGTTGTGGTCCTGGTTCCGGTCCGGTGTAGGCGGTGTGGTTCCGGTCCGTCTAGGCGGTGTGGTCCTGGTTCCGGTCCGGTCTAGGCGGTGTGGTCCTGGTTCCGGTCCGGTCTAGGCGGTGTGGTCCTGGTTCCGGTCCGGTGTAGGCGGTGTGGTTCCGGTCCGGTCTAGGCGGTGTGGTCCTGGTTCCGGTCCGGTCTAGGCGGTGTGGTCCTGGTTCCGGTCCGGTCTAGGCGGTGTGGTCCTGGTTCCGGTCCGGTCTAGGCGGTGTGGTCCTGGTTCCGGTCCGGTCTAGGCGTTGTGGTCCTGGTTCCGGTCCGGTGTAGGCGGTGTGGTTCCGGTCCGGTCTAGGCGGTGTGGTCCTGGTTCCGGTCCGGTCCAGTCGGTGTGGTTCCGGTCCGGTCTAGGCGGTGTGGTTCCGGTCCGGTCTAGGCGGTGTGGTCCTGGTTCCGGTCCGGTCTAGGCGGTGTGGTCCTGGTTCCGGTCCGGTCTATGCGTTGTGGTCCTGGTTCCGGTCCGGTCTAGGCGGTGTGGTCCTGGTTCCGGTCCGGTCTATGCGTTGTGGTCCTGGTTCCGGTCCGGTGTAGGCGGTGTGGTTCCGGTCCGGTGTAGGCGGTGTGGTCCTGGTTCCGGTCCGGTCCAGTCGGTGTGGTTCCGGTCCGGTCTAGTCGGTGTGGTCCTGGTTCCGGTCCGGTCTAGGCGGTGTGGTCCTGGTTCCGGTCCGGTCTAGGCGGTGTGGTCCTGGTTCCGGTCCGGTCTAGGCGGTGTGGTCCTGGTTCCGGTCCGGTCTAGGCGGTGTGGTCCTGGTTCCGGTCCGGTCTAGGCGTTGTGGTCCTGGTTCCGGTCCGGTGTAGGCGGTGTGGTTCCGGTCCGGTCTAGGCGGTGTGGTCCTGGTTCCGGTCCGGTCCAGTCGGTGTGGTTCCGGTCCGGTCTAGGCGGTGTGGTCCTGGTTCCGGTCCGGTCTAGGCGGTGTGGTCCTGGTTCCGGTCCGGTCTAGGCAGTGTGGTCCTGGACCCAGCGCCGCAGGCGGCGGCTGTACTCCTGCGGGCTGACGGTGGAGAAGGAGCGGCCATGATGCCTCAGGCTCTTCCAGAGATGCTCCAGCCGTTTCTTCAGGCTGTAAACGGTGAAAACGTCGATGATGCCGATGAAGTATCGCTGCTCGGGTCCGTCGATGACGTGCAGCGGGTTCTTCAGGTTCGGCAGCAGGCGCCGGTTCTGGGCCCTGAAGTCCGGAATGTCGGGCGAGTCGGCGCCGGACCCGGCGGGGCGCGGACTCGTCCGAGACGAGTCGTCTCGGTCCTGGGACGACGTCAAGCCCGAGTCCGGTTCCGGTCCGGCGTCGTCATTCAGAACCGCTCCAGGAACTCCGCCTTGGATCGGGCTGGACCCGGGGTTCACGGACCTGGAACGGTACCAGACAGGAAGTGAGCCGGACTGTATGGGATTCTGGACAGAACCGAGCCTAAGATCAGAACCGGGTCGATGCTTATTCCATTTAAAGTTCTGAGGAAAACGTCCTGGTCCGTTTCAGTCCCACAGGCTCAGCATCACCGAACTGGGCTGGAGCCTTACCAATTAGCCGTTGCCATGGAGACGGAGGCTAAAGCAGCCTCTGCTCTGCTTCCTAATCTAATCGGTTCTGATCAGATAATCAGATTTATAGAAATTATGGAGGAGCTGATTGATGAACCAACTGGTTGCCATGGTGATTCTCATTTTTCCCAGCAAGAGATGAGATCAAACCAAAACCGGCATCTGCTCAGGCTAGCAAGCTAAAGCTTTAGCTACATGCAGATTCACTTGCTGAGAAGCAGAAGTGGACTATCAAAATAAAAGCTGTTTCAATAGATCCATTAGTAGGAACATCTGTATTGATATTTACCAATGCAGATGTTTTGGTAAACAAAGGCAAGAATTAGCTAATTATGGTACTAAGCTATACTTAGCTAAACACTATAAACTTTGCAGTTTGTAATATTTATCTTACTATTTAGCAAGATAAACTACCTAGCATGATAGCTGGGTAGTTAGCCAAAATGCTAACTACCTAGCCTGATAGCTGGGTAATTAGCCAACATGCTAACTACCTAGGCTGATAGCTGGGTAGTTAGCCAACATGCTAACTACCTAGCATGACAGCTGGGTCGTTAGCCAACATGCTAACTACCTAGCCTGATAGCTGGGTAATTAGCCAACATGCTAACTACCTAGCCTGATAGCTGGGTAGTTAGCCAACATGCTAACTACCTAGCATGTCAGCCAGATAAATGTTTAGGTAATTATTTAGTGGAGCCAGCGGAGCAGACGGACTTCTTGGTTCTGACGATGAGCGAGGCGAAGGACAGGTTCTGGTTCCGCTCGTCGTGGTGCAGCGGCTGGTGGGCCAGCAGGAGGCTGTAGTCCAGAACGTTGAGCCGCTCCAGGAAGCCGGTGTCGATCTCCACCTGCTGGACGAGCCAGGAGCGCTGCCGATCTGCACACAACACATCGAAACTCAACAAAACCAACAAAACCAAACCCAGACACACAAACACAACAAAAACTAAACACAGAGACCCGGATGGGTGTCAGATCAGAACCAGGCGGTTTGGGTTTCATCCTTTGGTCTCAGAAAAACTTTAGTTTCATTTTCATGGTTTAATGTTTCTACATTTTTACCATTAAAATCTGAGCTTTGGTTTCTGACACAACCCAGAGATATTATGGATGGATCAGATCAACGCTGATTAATAGGTTAGAATGGCCTAGTCAAAGTCCAGACCTGAATCCAGCAGGTTTTTCAGATGTTTTCAGACTGAACTGGTTCAGTTCTGGAGGACAGAAGTAGTTCTCTGTGTGACCAGTAGAGGGTGCGCTGCACCTTCCTCCTCCTCCTCTTCCTCACCCAGCGTGATGACCTGGCCTTCAAAGTTCAGGTCCTTCAGAACCACAATGATCCGGCTGCCCTCCGGCGCCGGGTCCGTCCACCGGCTCACCTCGCAGCCTTTGATGTCATACCTGCAAAACACAGGCAGCGTCACTGGACCCGACCGGAACCAGAACCAGGACCGACCCGGTACCAGGACCGACCCGGTACCAGGACTGATCAGAACCGACCCGACCTCGGCGGCCCAGACTCACCGGGCGTTGATGCGTTCGTCCGGATAAAAGACGCTCTGCATCACGATGAAATATTTCTGCCAAGAAGGAAGCATGAGATGATCCAGCAGGAGGCGCCAAACATTCAGATCCACAAAACAGCAGAAGAAGAAATTCAGACGTTTTAGCTAACATGTTAGAGCAGCGCCTACTTCCTGTTGTCAGGCAGTTTCTACAGGAAATGACTTAAAAACACAAAATATCACCAAAATATTTATTTAGTTTAGTTTCTAAAAACTCAGAAATTAATTTACAGGTAATTTTTCAACAAGATACAGAAGATTAAACTCTGGAATATTAAAGTTAGCATTAGCAGATTTATTCTCTCATAACATAAAAATCACATTTGTTTTCTGAATTTATTTGTTTTTATCATGCTACATTTTGGGGGAGAAATGTTTAAAGATCCCTCAGTTCCTGATCCAGACGTTCAGAACCAGAGAACCAGGTCAAAGCGGATCTTTACCTTCTGACCGGGCGGGATCCGGATCCGGTGAACTCCTGAAAGGAAAACGAGAATCATCAGAGTTCACAGGATCATGATTACACGACCTCCAGCTGATGATGTTTGGGGTTAAAGGTCAGGCTAAGGGTCAGGCTAGGGGTCAGGTCATGTGTTGTACCTAAGAACTTGACCAGCAGTGAATGTGGGAACTTCCTCAGATGCTCTACGTAGATCTTCAGGTTGGACAGAAGGAATTTAATCTCCCGTTTGTTTTGGGTCTTCAAGAAAAAACGTTTATCATTTCTGAAGGTTCAAAAACACAAAATGCATCAATCAACACGCGTTGGTAAACATCCTACAGTTAGCATGCCAGCATAACATTAGACATGGTAGCATGGGCTAATGTTAGCAACTGTCCTAAAAAGCTATTTTGTTGGCATTAGCTCCTAAACTGATAGCAACAAACATTTGAAAAAAAGTCCAATACTTAAGAATGAATATTGTTAGCAGCTATGCTAATCAAATTATTTTGTTAGCATTAGCTAATAACTTTATAATGGCTGAAATCCTTGCTAAAATGCTAACATGCAACTTTTCTATAATATTCTGATTTATGTATTTCGGTCTATGCCTTGTAACTCATCAGTTTTTGCTTCCTGTTTGTTTTTCTGCTGAATGAGGACCAGACTCACGTCAGGAAGAAGTCGGCTTTGCTCTTGGAGTTGCTAATGAACTGCAGGTAGCAGCTTTCTGAGCACAGAGACTGCAGATACTCGTCCTCTGTGATTCCTAGCGACGCGCGCAGAGCGGCGAACACCGGGCCGCCGAACGTCTCCAGCGAGAAGTCCTGGACAAACACAGTAAACTGTCTGGGACGCCTGCAGAGACACAATTACAGCCTGCCGGCCCGACCTCACCTTGTGCACCTGTGTGACCTTGGATCTGAAGTCGTCGTCTGAAAGGTCGTTCTGGAAACAGAAACACAGTAAGACAGAAAGATTCATGATCTGCTTCATATTTCACTTTCTGTTTCTGTAGGAAAGTGGAAATCCAGGAATTCATGAGCCAAAACAACAGAAGGTTTTCAGTCAGAGGGATTTCCAGAAGTGATGTAACACAGACCTCTACAGGAGGTTCTTCAAACTCCATCCATCTCTGCACCGACTTGTTTAATTCGGTTTATCTGTTTTAAATATGAGATTTCTGTGGATATTTGTGTATTTCTCAGTGACTGATGGCGCTCAGCGCACTGAGGTCGCCGCTGCAATCCGTGATGTCACAGGCGGCGCCGCTGACCGAGTCGTAATGCTCCCTGCTGAGTCAGCGCTCTGGGCATCAGAGGGATTAGGTCCGAGTTGAACCGGGTCGGGAATTCTGTTTGTTCTGTAGCAACAGAAACTCAGTGAGCTCCAACCTGGATCACATTTTACTTCCTGTGAGGATTTTTACACAAACAGAATCATTTATTTATTCTTCTACGTCCAGAATGAAGCTCAGAGGGACTCACTGCTTCACCACAACGCATCATTCAGCAGATCGCTAGCATGCTAACGAATCAACCTGCGGCTAATTCACAAAGCTAACAGAAATATTGACATGATGCCAAACTGACTTTATTCATTCAAGTTTAAATATTTTAACCTTTAACCCTACATCACTCTAATAAACAGTAGTTCTGCTGTTGCAGAACTACTGTGTCCAAAATGGTTTTGGACACATGCTATCGCTAAAGCGCTAAACTCAGCCATGTTGATTCCCAGGAGGTTTTCATAAGGAGAGGTTCTCAAAATAATTCATATATGTTCAGGGGAAGTTAAAGCAATAAATGTTTTCAACATTAGCAAAAATTCTAACACGCTAAGGTAAAAACTAGCTCTGCTATTAGCAGATTAGCAGATGTCTTGCCGTCCAGTGGCTTCAACTGAACCAACACAAAGTTTTAGCAACAACTCAGCAGCAGCAACATTTGAAAACAGAATTATAAAAACTGAATATAATTATTCACTGACTGGATTCTGGTTTTTATAATATTTTAAACAAACGGTCGTTAAATGTTTTTGTAGCTGTTACTCTAAATTAGCATCAGGAATTTCCTGATAATCTTCAGGTTTCAGTTTCAGGAATAATTGCTGTTTGTTTAGTTGCTTGAAACCAGGAGACGGCAGCGTTGACACATTGAGCAACTTTAATTGGATGTTTAGGATGTTTGTTGCTGAATCCCAGGTTGCTGAAGCAGTTTGTTTCCTGTGGTCGCGTCGCTAAGCTCTGACCTGCTTCCACTGCTGCCAAAGGGAACTACAGCAGCAGCAAGGGGTCATTCATCAACTGTGGAAGTTTCTGCTGCGGGTTTTCCTCTGATCTGGACACACAGATGATTTTACTGCCGACACGTTCAGAAATCCAATAATCAATCCCTGGAAAGCTGTTAGCGCCGCAGCGCCGCGACCTTCAGCGCGGAGCAGCGACCTTCAGCGTTTTATTATTAGTGACGTAAAACAAAAAGATTCAGCTCTGAAGTGAATGAATAAACATCAGAGACGTTTTGTACAGATTTAAAAGCTTCGCATCAATTTACTGACAGGACAGCGAGAGGAGCAGAGGTCAGAGGTCAAATCACCTCATCGATTACAAACAGCAGATGAAGCAGGAATCATTTTAGAGACGAACCTTCAGCAAAACCACAAAGTATTTACCTTCAACTGGTCCAGAGTCAGATATGAGGAACTGATCTGATCTGAACTGAACTGAACTGAACTGAACTGATCTGATCTGAACTGAACTGAACTGAACTGAACTGATCTGAACTGAACTGAACTGATCTGATCTGATCTGAACTTAACTGAACTGAACTGAACTGAACTGATCTGAACTGAACTGATCTGATCTGAACTGAACTGAACTGAACTGATCTGATCTGATCTGAACTGAACTGAACTGAACTGAACTGATCTGAACTGAACTGAACTGAACTGATCTGAACTGATCTGATCTGGTCTGAACTGAACTGAACTGAACTGAACTGAACTGAACTGAACTGAACTGATCTGAACTGAACTGAACTGAACTGAACTGAACTGAACTGATCTGAACTGATCTGAACTGAACTGAACTGAACTGATCTGAACTGATCTGAACTGATCTGATCTGGTCTGAACTGAACTGAACTGAACTGAACTGAACTGATCTGATCTGATCTGAACTGAACTGAACTGATCTGATCTGAACTGAACTGATCTGATCTGATCTGATCTGATCTGATCTGATCTGAACTGAACTGAACTGATCTGATCTGATCTGAACTGAACTGAACTGATCTGATCTGATCTGATCTGATCTGATCTTATCTGGTCTGAACTGATCTGAACTGAACTGAACTGAACTGATCTGAACTGAACTGATCTGAACTTAACTGAACTGAACTGAACTGATCTGATCTGATCTGATCTGAACTGAAGTGAACTGAACTGAACTGATCTGATCTGATCTGATCTGATCTGAACTGAACTGAACTGAACTGATCTGATCTGAACTGAACTGAACTGATCTGATCTGATCTGATCTGATCTGATCTGATCTGATCTTATCTGGTCTGAACTGATCTGAACTGATCTGAACTGAACTGATCTGAACTGATCTGAACTGATCTGATCTGAACTGAACTGATCTGATCTGATCTTATCTGGTCTGAACTGAACTGATCTGAACTGATCTGAACTGAACTGAACTGAACTGAACTGAACTGATCTGAACTGATCTGAACTGATCTGAACTGAACTGAACTGATCTGATCTGATCTTATCTGGTCTGAACTGAACTGAACTGAACTGAACTGATCTGAACTGATCTGAACTGATCTGAACTGAACTGAACTGAACTGAACTGATCTGATCTGATCTGAACTGATCTGATCTGAACTGAACTGATCTGATCGATCTGAACTGAACTGATCTGATCTGAACTGAACTGAACTGAACTGATCTGAACTGAACTGAACTGAACTGATCTGACTGAACTGAACTGAACTGAACTGAACTGAACTGAACTGAACTGAACTGATCTGAACTGAACTGATCTGATCTTATCTGGTCTGAACTGAACTGAACTGATCTGATCTGAACTGAACTGATCTGATCTGAACTGAACTGAACTGAACTGATCTGAACTGAACTGAACTGAACTGAACTGATCTGAACTGATCTGAACTGATCTGAACTGATCTGAACTGAACTGATCTGATCTTATCTGGTCTGAACTGAACTGATTTGAGACCAAAACATAAAGGCTGCTGACCTCTGACCTGTGGGAGGGTTTGGGAAGCCAGCAGGCGTTCCTCTGTGGTTTCTGCCATGCAAGCTGCTGCCGCTGCTACTCACCGCTGCCGGTGTGTGTGTGGAGGTGTGTATGGCTGCAGCCAGGCCCTCCTTCATCCTGCAGGTCAGGCCGTAGAAGTCGTGCTGCTGGTCGATCTCAAACAGACCCAGAAGTTTCCACTGCTGCCTCAGGCCGCCCCAGCGCCGCCGCTTCACCGTGCCGGATGGCTGCGGCGGCGGCGGCGGCCGTCCGGGCGTCTCCATCTGGGCAGAGAGCAGAGCAGCAGCGTGAGGCGCTGAAAGCTTTCTGCAGAAAGCAGAGAGGAGGCCGGCAAAACCCAAACACAGCAGTCTGTAACTGGGTTGCCATGGTGACCAGCACAATGGGATGAAAGCTCTGCGGGCCGCGCCGCGCGCCGCCGCGCACCACCGCGCCTGATGAGCTGAGCGGCTCATTAACACGTTTCAGCAGAGCAAGCCAGAGATCAAACCTCTACAACTAACAAGACGACTGGCCCTTTAAGTAACTGCTGATGATGTCACTGCTTTCTCTGAGTCTGATTGGTTCATCCCCAACATTAGAGCTACCTGGAGGAACACAAAGAAGGAATGTCAAAGGTTATCTGCGCTAACGGATACATGCTAGCCTAAACAGGAACAAATGTCCAGGTGTGGCGAGATAAACAGCAGAAAGGAAGAAACCAAGACAGGTTTCATCTGTTTTACTTTAGAAATGTAGCTAATATTTGGCTAAAGTTAGCTGAAGTTAGCAAAAGTTAGCTGAAGTTAGCTAAAGTTAGCTGAAGTTACCTAAAGTTAACTTAAGTTAGCTGAAGTTAGCGAAAGTTAGCTAAAGTTAGCTGAAGTTAACTGAAGTTAACTTAAGTTAGCTGAAGTTAGCTAAAGTTAGCTGAAGTTAGCGAAAGTTAGCTGAAGTTAGCTAAAGTTAGCTGAAGTTAGCTAAGTTAACTTAAGTTAGCTGAAGTTAGCTAAAGTTAACTTGAGTTAGCTGAAGTTAGCTTAAGTTAGCTAAAGTTAACTTGAGTTAGCTAAAGTTAGCTGACGTTAGCGTAGCTGTGGAACTGAACCACTTCATGATGAAAGGATGAATATTTTCTCCATGTTTAGTTTATTTATTTTTCTCTTTTTGTGTCAACACTGAAAAAAAAATTAAACTGCAGGAACAAAAAGCTGCAATAATGTAAGACACAAATTTGTAGTTAACATAAATTACGCTAATTAAGCTAAGCTAAACAATTAGCTTGCTAATCAGGTATTTAACTTAAAGATGGGATATTTAAATGAATGAATAACAGTGAAAATATAAAATATGATCGTTGCTGTTTCACAGAGTAACTTTTCTGTCTCTTTGCTCTGCAGAGATTTTCTCCCATCAGGATTCAGACCTCCGGTCTTCATTTGACTAACAAAGCTCTGGTTCGGCTCGGTTCGGCTCGGTCCGCCGGTTTCGGAGTCAGGAGGTCAGCTCACCTCAGAGTTTGTTTAGCTGGGAGCATCACTTCCGGCCTCTCATCATCAGCCAATCAGAAACATTCAAATGATCTGCACGTTAACGTCAGCATTTATTAAATGATCCATCCATCCATCCATCCATCCATCCATCCATCCATCCATCTATCTATCTATCTATCTATCTATCTATCTATCTATCTATCTATCTATCTATCTATCTATCTATCTATCTTAGTATAATATTATTTTGCTCACCGCACAGTGAGTTCTGCTGGTTGTGGTTCCGGTTCGGTCCGGTGCCTCTGGTTCTTGTGCCGCAGCCGGACCGGGCCCGGACTGATCCTGGATCCGGTCACACCAGAACCTGACACCGACTGGCTCTGCTGATGGGCTCCTGCTCCACAGCGCAGCGTCCCTTCAAATTAAAAGCCCGGCCCAGCCCGGCCCAGCCGGGCGGACCAGTCCGGAACCAGCAGCTGGTCCTTCTGCAGGAGTTTCCATCGGTTCCGAACTTTGAACTGGGCTGAAAACGTTCAGGTTTATGAATATGTATGGAATAATTTAATGAAATCAAAGTTCTGCTGAACTTTTCTTTACTTTCTGCAACTTTGCATTAAATATTCAGGAAGTAAATAATTATTCAGATTCATTAGCAATTTTATGAAATATCAGAGCTCTTTTTTTTATTAAGATTTTTCAATGTTTTTTAAACTTTAGTTTCATAATATTTTGTGTGTTTTTACACAATGTTCTTTATTTTCCCTTTTAGTTTCCTTCGTGATTTTATTGATAAATTTTTTTATAGTGTCAGTTCATAAATTAGTTGCCTTTTATTTCGATGATCAATTAATCCAGTTAATCATTTCAGAAACATGAAACTGCATTATTTCCACCTGGAAACAAGTTTTTAATCGATGTTTCGGTTTTCTACAGATTTAAAGTTTGGATCTGCTGCCCCCATCTGGACAGAAGCATTAATGCAGCGCAAGCTAAAAACTAATAAAATGTTATTTCTGATTTTTTTTTTCAGAAAAATTTGTATTTTATGTTTGTTGGAATAAGAAAAAAATCTGAGGATCCAGTTCAGAAAATAGATCTGTAAACCTGTAGTTTACAGATCTACGTTTAATTAAAGAACAATTTTAATAATTCAATAATGAATAAATACACCTTTGAGTTTCACCTGTCAGATTCAAATAAGCTTTAAGCAGACGTAAGAAATATTAATACTTTCTCACAGAAACAATTTATTTCCTACATAAATTAAATTTGACTTTGTTTCAATTATTTGTTTGATCTGAAAAATTTAGACACAAATAATTTTATAATTTTAAGGAGCAAAAATTTTATTTTATTTCAATGTAAACAAAAGAGAAACAATCTGTACACAAATTCCACAAATATTTACAGATTTCCTCATTATTCAATAATCAGCTCCTCAACTGTGACGTCATTCCTGCGGCACAGTCTCTGACGTCATCGGGACAGAATGGCCGCTAGGGGGAGCCAGAGTTCGTCAGATTGAGTCCAGAGCAAAAGAAAACGCAGAACTTCCTGAACTCAGTCGGTTTTCTGTGGTTTGCGGTTTTTCCACAGGATGACGGCAGTGAAGGTTCCTGTCGGACCGAACAGAACATGAGACCCAAAAACCTTCAGAACCAAGAAACAACTAAAATCTGATTCCTGCATCAGTTTGGGCTTTTATTATGAAACTGAAACATGCAGTTCTGCTTATTAAAAACCAATGTGAAATTTTATTGACTGATTGTCTCAACATGAGACAGTTTGAACCTGTTAGCTACATAAACACACTGAATGAATTAATATTAAGAGTTAAAGCTGATGGGACAGAACCAGAACCGGTAGAGGAAACATGACCTCTGACCTATGCAGAGCAGCAGCAGCACCGCAGCGACTCCAGGCAGGATGACCGAATATTCCCGAGGAAGGAAATATCTGTGAAGGACGTGGCGGCCGTCGACGAACGGCTGCAGAGAAACACGGAGACTGAATTTATAATAACATCCAGTAATTAGACGTTCAGATTGATAATAGTGGGTTCATTTCTCTCCCAGGATCAGGTCCCGTACCAGAACGATGACCCAGACAGTGTAATACGAGAAGAGCAGCAGGCTGAACAGAACCAGACTCATCCCGACCGCCTGATCCGCTCCTGTAGCCTGGAAATACAGCAAACACATTCCCTTCACTGGGAGTTCACCAGACAGGTTTCTGCTCCGGCTCTAGCTTGGAAAAACCTGGGACACAAGGACAAAACCTGGGAAAACCTGGGACACAAGGACAAAACCTGGGAAAAGCTGGGACACAAGGACAAAACCTGGAAAAACCTGGCCATCTATGACGGCCAGATGGATGAAACCTTTAGACCTGGAAATACGAGTAATTATTTCATTTTCAACCTTTTGAGGGGAAAATCTGACAGAAACATTCAGGTTGTATGAATTAGATTTCATTATTTTCTTGGAGTCTGGACAGAATCATAAACACGAACAGGTGCAGCTGCTAAATCAGGGGAGCCCACAGTGGGCCCCTGAGGGCCAGTGGCATCCTGCTTGTTTTAAACATCCTGCATGCTAAATGTTCCCTTTTTCGGAACATTGGTTCAGTCCAGTCCGGAATTCCCTTCAAATAATTGAACATTTTAGACAAAACGAGATTTTTGAGTAAGAAGGTGATGACAAAACGTATTTTCTGAGCAAACAACGTTTCTTCTTGAATTCGGCGCTGAACAGTTTTATAAATCTGGAGTTATTTTCAACAAATAAATAAAAGTTGTCTGAACAGAGGAAGAAGTTACACGAACAAATCATTTAAAAACGATTTGCAGATAATTAACTTGAAAATTATCTGCGAATGATCAGTTAAGACTGAAACCAACCTAGTTATTAAAACTATATAATAGTTTGTATTACACTAAAACAGATTCACACTTAATGCGAGGCTGCAGTTAGCTAACCGGCTAACCTCTTAAAAACAACTTTATCTTCATGCTTCACCTCCGGAACTTCCGGTCTGACTTAAACGCAAACATTTCATTTTAAATCTGTCTTTCAGCATAAATGTTTGATGATTACTTTATTTATATTTCTTACCATGTTTACAGACACGTAGAGAGGGATTATTTCAATGCTTCCGGATTCTTACTTCTTCTCCTAAACCTACCGGAAAGACTCAGCTCTCCGTCGCCCCCTAACGGTTCTACGGTGCAATTTCACCGTAATACTTTCAGATTAGATACAAAAGATCTGATCTTCAGTTTTAGTTACCAAAAAATAATCTACATCAGACTCAAAGAAAAAACTTCAACCAAAATAAAAAAGAATTTTATTTTTGACATATTCACACTAAAACCTTAGTGCATTTTTTAACAACCAATTTGTAAAAATATTGAAAATGATGCATCATTCTCATTACGCTTCACGCAGCGCTTTGTGTTGCTGTCTCTTTACGTTTGTTTGTAATGCTACAAAATGTGGAAAAGGTTGTGAATATTTTAGTAAAGCTCTGAACATAAATAAAAGAAAAATAATTTTTAAAGTTCAATGTAGATGAAAATATGAAGCACAAAATAAAATGAATCACAACTTTTCCCGAGCGCTAACGCTTTAAGCTAGTTAGCGCTTGGGGTATTTTTGTCCATGTTCATGTACAAAAATAACAGATAAACTCACACAATAACAATTGTTTCACAACAAGGAATGTAAATAGTTAAAATCTGCTTGAACATTAATAACAAACACAACCATAAATTTACCCAAAATAACAGTTTACATTTAGATCAGCGTAATAAAACCATGATGTGAAATAAATCATTGAGTACATTCCCTTTAACAAACACTTTAATTCATCACAACACTTAAAATATAAATCATAATCTCATTCATCAGTTCCATTTGAATCATTATGAAATATTAAAACCCTTTTCTCCAAAATAAAAATAAAACACTTTGTGTAAAAATAACAGGTAATACACATCTGATGGACGTTCGTCTAAAATACAGTTCAGTGGTTTCACTGTAATTAATCCAGTGTTTAAGATCCAGTGAGAACCAGAACCAGAACCAGAACCAGAACCAGCCTGCTGGCTTCAGATGTTTCTGATTCTAAATCTGAGCGTCTGTCTGGGTCAGACGGAGCAGATAAATATCACATATTCAGTTTTTACTGTTTTTATTAAAGCGATGTGAAACATGGCGGAGGGAGTGAAACGCGTGACCTGCACGCATCCGTCCACGCATCCAGAACCACAAACCAACCCGTTCAGGTCCGTTTCTCTGTCTATTGTTGGGTCTGGAACAGGCCGGGCTTTGTCCTGGAGCAGCTGTGGGTCTGAGCCCGACAGAACCACAGAAACATCTGCATGCATAAAAACCGAGCTGATTCTGACGGGAGTGAAAAACGTTTCTGATCCAGCAGAAAAACTTTTCCTCCTCAGTTTGACGGCACTAATAATTAATCACTGCGGAAACCAGAACAATAATTTATCTCTGAAGATGTCAGTCTTGCTCTAGGAAACTTAAATCTACTCTTTGTATGGAATCCTAAGAGTGCCACAAAAAGAATAAATGTGTGAAATATTACAAAAACCAGGATAAAAATAAAAAGAACAGAAATATTAATGTGGGAATTCAGTCCAACACCAAAAGTGATTTCCTCTCAAGCAACCTTCATTATAGTTCTTTTTTAATAATAATAATAATAATATGAATGTGTTGCTAATCCCTAGACAGTTTAAATTCACCTGGCATATTTTAGCACCAAGTTACTGGCTGAAATATTTCACCAAAGGAATTATTTAATAATTAATATAAACAAGTAAAAGACAAATGTTTCTTTTTAAAATATCTCTTCTTTGTTGTGGCACTTCTGTGGTTCCATACAAACAAGCGGCTAAGAACAGTTAGCCTTTTAGCTACATGATGCGACTCAGCAGTAAACAGATTCTTAAACCAGAAGCTAAAATGAAGCAACGAAAAGTCAAATGAAATAATACAAGCAGCACATGGTGACTTTCAGGTTGGATAATAAATGTTAGCATCAACACATTAGCTGCTAAATGCTACAAATAAAAACTATGAAAGGAACTTTAATGTGATTTAAATGGATTTGAAGAAAATAAGTGAATAAAATCTGGAGGATCGAAGCTGCGATTAGATCAGAGAAAATATTCATCATTTTTCTCTCCATTGGAAAAACGGCAGAGATTAAAGAACAGCGATTCAAAACCTGTTGTAGTGGTTATTAATTAGTGGTTATTAATAAATAGTGGTTATTAATAATTAGTGGTTATTAATAATAAACCTCAGAAGTTGGATGTGCAAAACTGTGAAATACAAACAACACACTGATCAACCCGTAGACTATAATAATAATAATAATAATATAATAATAATAATAACAATAATAATAATAATAATAATAATAATAATAATAATAATAATTATAATAATAATAATAATAATAATAATAATAATAATAATAATAATAATAATAATAATAATAATAATAATAATTATAATAATAATAATTATAATTATAATAGTGTCCCAGTGTTAAATGATCCTCTGAGTTATAAAACTTTTGTGATGTCATCATGAATGTAGCAGAACTTTGTTGTCTTACAGCGGAGCGGTTCTGTTGGACCGGGTCAGAACCGGCTCTGAAGCTGAAATGTTTCAGAATAAAAACATTAAAACTCCTGCAGCTTCACATCTGACTGGGATAAATTCATACCTTTATGAGTTTTAATACATAAACAGAAGGAAATGTTTTTACCCACCGACCGTCAGATTATTCTGGATTATTCTGGATTATTCTGGATTATTCTGGATTATTCTCAACATTCAGGATTAATCATCTGGAGGCCTGGATCCTGCCAGGAGCTACTGGAATAATCCAGATTATTCATATTTAAAAGCAGCTGATAATGGAGGTGAGTGGAGCGACCCGGAGCGGACGGGAACTGCTGGTTCTGAGGAAACGGGTCAGAACCTCCATCATGGAGCCTCAGTGAGTCTCGATCTCCACCGGCTCAAAGACGCCCGGCGTTCCTCTGGAAGACAGACAGAAAGCAGAGATCGGGTCAGGTTCTGGGTTCTGGTTGGTTCTGCTGGGTTCTGGTTGGTTCTGGTGTGTTCTGGTTGGTTCTGGTTGGTTCTGGTTGGTTCTGCTGGGTTCTGGTTGGTTCTGGTTGGTTCTGGTTGGTTCTGCTGGGTTCTGGTTGGTTCTGATTGGTTCTGCTGGGTTCTGGTTGGTTCTGTTTGGTTCTGGTTGGTTCTGCTGGGTTCTGGTTGGTTCTGATTGGTTCTGCTGGGTTCTGGTTGGTTCTGATTGGTTCTGCTGGGTTCTGGTTGGTTCTGATTGGTTCTGGTTGGTTCTGGTTGGTTCTGTTTGGTTCTGGTTGGTTCTGCTGGGTTCTGGTTGGTTCTGTTTGGTTCTGCTGGGTTCTGGTTGGTTCTGATTGGTTCTGCTGGGTTCTGGTTGGTTTCTGTTTGGTTCTGCTGGGTTTCTGGTTGGTTCTGATTGGTTCTGCTGGGTTCTGGTTGGTTCTGGTTTGTTCTGCTGGGTTCTGGTTGGTTCTGATTGGTTTCTGCTGGGTTCTGGTTGGTTCTGTTTGGTTCTGCTGGGTTCTGGTTGGTTCTGATTGGTTCTGCTGGGTTCTGGTTGGTTCTGTTTGGTTTGCTGGGTTCTGGTTGGTTCTGATTGGTTCTGCTGGGTTCTGGTTGGTTCTGGTTTGTTCTGCTGGGTTCTGGTTGGTTCTGGTTGGTTCTGCTGGGTTCTGGTTGGTTCTGTTGGTTCTGCTGGGTTCTGATTGGTTCTGGTGTGTTCTGGTTGGTTCTGGTTGGTTCTGCTGGGTTCTGATTGGTTCTGCTGGGTTCTGGTTGGTCTGGTTGGTTCTGCTGGGTTCTGATTGGTTCTGGTTGGTTCTACAGGGTTCTGCTGGGTTCTGGTTGGTTCTGTTGGGTTCTGCTGGGTTCTGGTTGGTTCTGGTTGGTTCTGGTTTGTTCTGCTGGGTTCTGATTGGTTCTGGTTGGTTCTGCTGGGTTCTGATTGGTTCTTGTGTTCTGGTTGGTTCTGGTTTGTTCTGCTGGGTTCTGGTTGGTTTTGGTTGGTTCTGCTGGGTTCTGTTTGGTTCTGGTTGGTTCTGGTTGGTTCTGGTTGGTTCTGCTGGGTTCTGGTTGGTTCTGTTTGGTTCTGGTTGGTTCTGGTTGGTTCTGCTGGGTTCTGTTTGGTTCTGTTTGGTTCTGGTTGGTTCTGTTTGGTTCTGCTGGTTCTGGTTGGTTCTGATTGGTTCTGCTGGGTTCTGGTTGGTTCTGTTTGGTTCTGCTGGGTTCTGGTTGGTTCTGGTTGGTTTCTGCTGGGTTCTGGTTGGTTCTGGTTTGTTCTGCTGGGTTCTGGTTGGTTCTGGTTGGTTCTGCTGGGTTCTGGTTGGTTCTGGTTGGTTCTGCTGGGTTCTGATTGGTTCTGGTGTGTTCTGGTTGGTTCTGGTTGGTTCTGCTGGGTTCTGATTGGTTCTGCTGGGTTCTGGTTGGTTCTGGTTGGTTCTGCTGGGTTCTGATTGGTTCTGGTTGGTTCTACAGGGTTCTGCTGGGTTCTGGTTGGTTCTGTTGGGTTCTGCTGGGTTCTGGTTGGTTCTGGTTTGTTCTGCTGGGTTCTGATTGGTTCTGGTTGGTTCTGCTGGGTTCTGGTTGGTTCTGGTTGGTTCTGCTGGGTTTCTGATTGGTTCTTGTGTGTTCTGGTTTGTTCTGCTGGGTTCTGGTTGGTTCTGCTGGGTTCTGATTGGTTCTTGTGTGTTCTGGTTGGTTTGGTTTGTTCTACAGGGTTCTGCTGGGTTCTGGAGCCCTACCTGGTGGCGATCTGCGTCCCGCTCAGGGCCGTGGTCCCGTCCTTACTGACAAACAGTCTCAGGTGGCTGTCTGAGGACAAACAGCCCAGAGTCACGTGACAACGTCCACCTGGTTACCATGGTTACCGCAGTTAACACAAAAACTGAAGATGTTCATCAGCTGGAATAAATATAAATAATTACTGGGGAAAAACTTCAAGTATAACTTTTCAATTAATTCATTACAAACACTGTAATTAACATTTAAATTAGAGTTTGAACTTTGACCTTAATTAACAAAAACAAACCTTGA